GAGTCAACAACGAAAGGAGGAAATAAAAGTCTGAATTGATGCCTGAGCAAACACCGCCGACTTTGGCCAAGCGAAGCGAGAGCCGTACTTAAAAGAGATACGAATTCGCAGCATTTACCGCTTGTTCGCCGATAAAGATTGAAGACGCGAAGGCGCGGAAAGAGACACTTGTGAAATCAAAAGCGGCAGACGCATCGGAGAGAAAAAGCTTCTCCATCGCCGTCCTTCGAGCGACGAGGAGAAAAGCTGGGTTTCTGCGAAATGCGCGTCCCTATGGTCCTATGAATTTCTTTGCTGAACACTGCCGAACATTTCTGAACATCATGAGCCGGATTTCATATCATTCCAAGGGCCTACACGTCCTCAACACGTTATGCAACGTAATCCCAGTATCCTATGAGGAAATCCACCAACACATCATCATGTTTTAGGTTCTACCAATCACAATGGTGCGTCAGGTCAGGCTCTTGTGGTCCACATCTGGCCATCTCGGAATCGGATTTCGGATCACCATTTCGGACCCGGGGGAAAAGGGAGGTCAGAAGACTAAGATTGGAAGTACTGCGGTCTTCCTGGGTAATCATTGCATCTGAGTCTTACTCCGCACCAGAGCACCCCGTTGGGATGTGTGAGGATGCTTGGGCGGCACTCCCGCTAGGGACACCGCAGGACTTCCAGGACTCCCAGGACTCCCAGGACTTTTTTAGGACTCCAATGACACCTAGAATACCCAGGATTCGCAGGGCTCCCGTGGAACTCGTAGGACTCCTGCAGGAATCCCAGGACTCACATGACTCCCGCAGAACTCCAATAACTTCCAGGACTCCCAGGACTCCCGCAGGACTCCCAGAACTTCCAGACTCCCGCAGGACTCCCACTAGGGCAGCTGTCCGGCCGACCCACGGTCAGATGCGTAACCAACAATCCCCTCAGGGCAGAAATATAATTTTTTACGAATCCCTGCGAATTCAGACCAATTACCCGCGCAATCAATCGCCGATGATCTTGTGCTCTCTTGGCTAAGAGGGTGAGGGGGGTAGACCTCCTTGGCCCTCCGCCTGACCACACCTCTGCCCATGGCTGACGGTAGCCAGGGGTACGTCACGGGTCACGGTCCCGCGTCACCGGCATGACATAATCCCGTTGACCCGGGACGCTTTGAGGTCGCCGTATGATGACGCATGTGAGGGGCAGGATAGATATAATTTGCAATGAACAGTTGAGATGTTTAAACGAACTAAATAAGTGATAATACGGCTAGGAACGGCAAACTGAATGAAGACACCAGCAACTGAGACAAAAGCGGGCGGCTCAGTTGTTGCACCTACCCATGGTTTGCGGACTGTGTCCAGCTCAAATATATTCGCGTCACTCGCGTTGCTAAAGCTTCACTCGTGACGCCGCGAGCTGCTGAGCTGCTAAGGAAAAGAGGAACCAGGGGTGGAGGGCATCAGACACAGGTGGATTGTTTTGGACGCTCCCCTCAAGACGACGCGAGTTGCACAAGAAAGGAGGAACACGGTGGGGTGGGGATGGGGGAGGGGCATCAAACACAGACGGGACTGCTTCGGACAAGTGTATTGCCACGGCAAATACCGTCGGGGTGCTCTGACGTCGGGTCGCTCTGACGTCGGGGTGCTCTAGGGCAGAGAGTTTTGGTTCGCTGCACGCCAAGGGAGCACTCGGCCGTGCATGCAGATGTCAGATCGGCTGGCAGCGATGAAACACGCCGTTCCGCTTTTGCGACAGTCTGACCAGCGCCAGCAGGGAGCTGCCACCGGGGCGCGTTCAGTTACATCGCACGCGATCGTTAAAACAAATGAAAAAAACAGATAAGACAGTAGTAACAGTCTTATTTTTCGGAGAGACGCCAGGAGAGCTGAGATATGAGTGCGTTGACATTCCGGTAACATGCCTCTATCGAAGCGAATAGCAGAAATCTTCTGCCGTTGGAAAGTGCGACGTGAAGTGCGAAAGAGCGAAGTGCTTTCGCACTTCTTCTGCTTTTCATTTCGATAAAAGCATGCCGCCGAACCATCAACGCATCTATATCTCCATTCTTCCGGTTTTCTCCGAGAAATAAGGCTATTTCTGCCGTCTCATCTATGTGCATAATGTTCCTCGCAAACGCAGTCTTACTTTACACTTACACAACTTAACTTACTTAACTTACTTACAACAAACTTACTTAAACAACTTAAGAAATGAGAAAACCAAGAATTCCACTCCCTATTCACTTTCAGAATCCGAGCAGGAGTCAACCATGCGGACGCACGGACGCCCGTTCGTCGATGTCTATATGGCCATGGCGTGGGAAGCCGCGGTCATGAGTGTTGGAACTTCCTCCATTAGTACCGGCACCAGCGATCACAAAGACGACGGCATCCGGAACTGGATCGCCGTGTTCACTTACGATGTTTTTGTCCGCAGCGTCAACCGCAGCGAAGCAATCACTGAGTTGATGCAGCTGGGTCTTAAAGTGAATTTCATCGCGTTGTAGCAGACGGGATTTGAATGGCTCGCATAGGCTCAAGCATGCGATACAAGGCCCGACTTGGTATTGGGGCAAGTGTCACAGCTGGTGTCCTGACACCTGTGTCACAGCCAGTGTCCTGGCAACGGTGTCACACATTGTGTCATGACACCTGTGTCACAGCTGGCGTCCTAACACTCGTGTCACCAGATCAGCCCACATGTGATGTACAAAGTAATCTGCAACTTATGAAAAGTTAGCTCTTGAAAGTTGGGAACTGAACAATTCGGCGCAGTCCCACTTAAGATATTATCGACGATGCAGCCAATGCGGCCATAACTTTCGCTATATTAGCCGACCGCCAAAACAACATCATCAAAAACTTACGGCACCCGCGGGACTCGAGCTCGGGACACAGGACCGCACCTTTCACGCGCTGCCAACTTCCTCCTCGCGTCCTTCTGTCACCGCACCAGCGTATGACCCCAGAGGGACACGAATGCGTACCCCCGAGGGACCTGGCGTTCGCGGGAGGTCCTCTCTGTTCGGTGCTCCCGCCCGCCTGTTTACTACCGCCGGCAGCCCGCCCCGCTAATTACTACCGCCCGTCCGCCTCTGTGACATCACTGTTTATAGACGCCCGACGGCGGAAAAGGGGGCGACTCGGTGCCGCCGCCGCCTGCGCCGGACGGTGGCGCGGCAGGGCGCGGAAGGTCAGAGGTCAGCGCTGCCCTCGGGCGGTGTCTCGTCGGCGCGAAGGTTAATCTCCGGCGGATGGCCGCGGCGCGTGACGGGGTACGTGTTCGTGATTATACGAGCTTGTGTCGGTGGCGCTCGCGACGAAGTCGGCGCGGGCGCTCCGCTTCGGCAGCGGCGCAGCTGCTATGAGCAGGAAAGGCGAGGCTGTTATTTTCCGTCCCTCTGAAAGGCATGCCATATCTACGGGTAAGGCCCCCAGTGGCTTGCCTTCGATCGTTCGCATTTCGCCGCGGGCCGCGGGCCCAACCCCATATGCACACTTTAATCCTGACTGTACCTCCGATGCGTAGCCAGCACCTTACTATTGGACGGTCAAGCTCAGGAACATAGAATCGCGCATCGCACAGGAGATCATCCATAAGTGACGTAACGGCGGATGGAGAGAGGTCCTGCCCGGCGCTTCGAAAATTGTGAGCGGAGGAGCTAATCCTCAGATGACGTGGCGTGGGAGGAAGACACAAAAATGACAGAACGCGTCACGTAATTCATGCACGGCCATCAGATCGGAAACCGGTCAGCGGCGTCGTGGACGGCGCGCTTCACCTACACCGCTAAGCACTCACGGCGAGCCTGAGCCGCCGAGAGCCTGATTGCTAATCGAAACAGGACTCCGCACCCAACGCGCAAAAACCGTCCGTGGATCAGCCGGGTAGGATTTGGCCTGTTCCGGTGGGTTGGATGGTATAACCTGCCATACCCCTCACCGAACTGTCCCACAAGGCGTCCTCCGGCGGCGTGGAATAAGCAGGCGTGCAAAGCAGTCTTCGGTGCGCCGCAAGTGGCGCACGCTGCTCCCAATTCGCAAAAATGACGTCACATGGCGTGTTTTGATCTCCGGCGGGCTCACCAACCGTATGTTGCTGCCAGGGCTTCTCCTGCGCGGATCGCCCAAACGACCTTCAGCCCGCATCCAAGTCGTGCGCCGCAGCCAAAAGTGTCAAGAAAATGTACGATGGAGCAGATCAGCTCAACTGAAGAGCACTAAAGCCGCGATCATTATGCATAAACCGGAAATTAATGGCCACGCCGCGGAGCAGCGTAATTTTCCGCGACACGTCCATCAACCCCACTGGACAAAGACCTCGGCTGGGAAGCGTTGCATCGATCTGGAAGCGCTAGAGCCATATTGGCAATCACGGCAGTGTTAAGGCGCTTCGTTAGGATGGGTCAACAGACGAGAACGAATTGTTTTAAATATTTAATTAGTTACCCCAGCGCTGCGGCTCAATGAACGATGAGAGGACATGAGCAACCCCGCAGTTTCACCGCCGCCCAAAGCCCACAGCAATGCCGAACCTCTTCTATCGTTGCAAACAAGGGAGCGCCAGAAAGTATGCGTTAAGCGCGAGGTCAATAACCTTCACCGAAAGCTCGCGGACTGACAGGTGTTGACATTGACAGGTACATGTTTACCTCCCATGAAGCGAAAATAAAAATCCATACGTCGTGCGACTGTTCAGCAGCCAACATTACCTGGACTTCCCTCCGCCCGCCAGCGGTCAACATGCACACTGCACCTGACCTGCATCATTTGACAGCAGAGCAATACCCACCCATGCAGTGTGTCCCTATCACAACTACACAATGTAGACAAACTGGCCAAATGCAACGGCAAGTGCTTTTGCTCGCTGCTTAGCTTGCTATTAGCACTATCGACGAACAAATACATAAATAAACACACACACACACACACACACACACACACACACACACACACACACACACACACACACACACACACACACACACACACACACACACACACACACACACACACACACACACACACACATATATATATATATATATATATATATATATATATATATATATATATATATATGTTTATATCGGCATCGGTATCGGTATCGGTGTCGGTATCGATACCGGTACTAATATATTGATCGGTATCAGTGCGTGTGCCTCCCACATGGCCGTGGTTCTCAGCCGCGGGCAAATGCTCGCCCGTGTAATCTCCGCTATAGCATGCGAGACGGTCTGGGATGCCGACCCGCACCACCGCACGCGATTGGTGCTCACCTGTGAGCTTGTGGTAAGAGCGGGAGACCGGTGAGGTGTTCACCTCGCAGATGTACATGCCGCTGTCCTCGACGGTCGTGTTCATGATGGCCAGCACGAACACGTCTCCGCCTGGTGGTAGGAATCAATCGTAGGTCACGCGCTGGGGATAGAAATTATGAACACGTCGCAGGCTGGTAATGGAAACTTGCAACGAGTCCTCGCCTGGTGGTAAGGCCACGTAAATAGCCAAAAGCTGGGAATTTCAGTTGCCTGGTTGCAATACTTAGAAAAGCCTCTCCATGTGGTACAATGAAAGGAAACGCAGAGGCACTCGGTGGCGGGGGAAAATGTGAAACCTCAAGACTTTCCCAATACATGTTACAACCCTCTGCTGTCCGGTGAAGGCGTTGGTTGTTTCGAAAATATTCCACTGTTTCTGCAGGCAGAAAACCAGAACGTTCATTCACGCGCACCTAAGAGCACAATATTGCAATTCAAAAGCCTGTAGTGACAACACTACGCCAAAAAATGGACTAACGATACCAGATGCACGAGGGCCATATTGAAGCTTACATACTGAAAAAAGCATAAAGTGTAAAATTACTGGGTTAAATTGTACAAATAGAAAACCCTCGCTTAGCAACATTGATTATCTGGAATAAGAGCGATACCATACCTCATGAATTTTCATGACTGAAAGAGGCCTCTGCAGGCACTGATCCAAGACATTACATTCAAGTATCAGGAGCCTCGTCAAAGCCAGATAAATTAGACTGCCGCTCCTCTGACGACCAGCTGTTCATTAACGCCCTGATGATGAGCTATTTCAACTTTTCGGCACCACTTATGCTGAAGCCTGTGAGGGACCGTTCGTTTCTGCCCGATGAAGCGGAATGATATGAACACCAAACACACCCTTATATGGACCATGAACCATACCACCATAGTTTATCTTTGCACAGGGGCCACACACAAAACAAAGTGACAACCATTCCGCAATAAATCACCGTCACCGCGCTAGCTAAGGAGCACAGTCATCGCGTTAGAGAAAAGGCATGCACCGCGAAAAGAAGCCCACAAACTGGCAACTAGGCGCACACAGTGACCGAGGACTTACATCACACCCGACGCCACGTCACACCACGGCCCAGTGTTATCGGCAACAACGCCAAACCACCACCGCGGCAAGCGTCGCAGCTGCAGCCAGCATCAGTTCGCGATCGCATCGACCGCCTCGACAGCTGCGGCGCGCAGCGGCCGCCTCGACAGCCACAGCGCCCAGTGATTGCCTCGACAACCGCGGCACGCGGCGGCCGCCTCGACAACCGCGGCACGCGGCGACCGCCTCGATAACCACAGCACGCGGCGACCGCACAGACAACCACAGGCACGCGGCGACCGCATAGACAACCGCGGCACACTGCGACAACCGCGGCACACCGCGACAACCGCGGCACACCGCGACCGCCTCGACAACCGCGGCACGCGGAGGCAGCCTCGACAACCGCGGCGCACCGCGACTGCCTCGACATCTGCGGCACGCGGTGGCCGCCTCGACAGCCGCGGCACGCCGTGGCCGCCTCGGCAACCGCAGCACGCTTCACGTGGCGACCGCCTTGACAACTGCGGCACGCGAGCCTCAGCTGCGGGAGCACGGAACCGGCAGGGAACGTTAGAGCAGCCGGGGAAGGGGGTGAAAAAGGGGAGGCCAGGCGCCGTGTACAAGAGACCACCACCAAGCACCAGCTGAAATATCAGTGACGTCACTTACCGGCGACGTGGTCGGATTTCATGTTCCGCGCTAAAAACGAAGGGCCAGGTGAGTTGATGCTCAAACTCCAAACGAAACCAACTACAGGTGACGTGCAAAACTCAGGGGCCATGAAGTTCCAAAAGCACGCTTGCAACATTGTCCAATGACATGAAAAAAGAAAACAGAATCGAATCACGGAAGCCCAACCACAGCATCATTAGCGAAATAGCGATCAGCTTTGTAAGAACGCTGACACCAAACTGCCAGGTACATTGCCCCCACTGAAGAAACGTGCATCAACACAATGATGTGAAGGTCTTACCTACGGGTAACACCTGCGACAATCCTACCTTTCAACGGTCGGGGTTCCAGCAATTATTATGTTAACACACAATGTCAATACGATTGTCATATATTTGTTATATACATGTCATGCAACGTGTTATCTAATTGTAATGTTGCGGTCATAATTAGAGCATGGGGAGATCATGTATCGCAAAAAGGACGCCAAACTTTTCAGAAGTGTTTGTCATATAGCCCATAAAATATTTACATCGAAAGCCCTGCTATGGATACATGTCACGAATGATATTTGCACTGATCATCTTATTCCAGCAAAGACCAAGATTCCTCCAAATGAAAACTTTGCCGACCTTTCGTGGCTTATGAAAAACCGATCTAAAGCTCCATCCATAGCCAGCAAAATAAAACTGTTTTTCTGGATCAAAGCGTTGCAATACGCCGCTAATTCAAGCATTACGCGGAATGGGAACGTTGGAAGACCCGGCACGAAACGCCCATTCCCTTCGCCCAACACCCACTTTATGTCGTACGCGAATCGCCGCGCCACCCTCTCCACACCACTGCTGCACTTTTTATGACAATCGGATCTTAAACATCCCATCACAACGCTGTGCAATGCTGCACACCGTGCACACTGACAAGTTGACACAGGCGCAGCACTCACGCCTGGGCGTAAGCGGTGCCGGTCGCGTGCAACCTCGACTCTCACCCCCACTCACCGTCATCAGCTGCCACTACCACTGACGCATGCTCCACCGAGCCCCGCCCCCACTTACCTTCATCAGCTGCCACTACCACTGACGCATGCCCCACCGAGCCCTGCCCCCACTCACCGTCATCAGCTGTCACTACCACTGACGCATGCCCCACCGAGCCCCGCCCGCACTCACCTGTCATCAGCTGTCACTGCCGCTGACGCATGCCCCACTGAGCCCCTCCACCACTCACCGTCATCATGCAGCACCATGACCCTGGGGTCGTCGATGACCCGGTAGTCTCCGACGGTGAGCACGCCCAGCGCCTCTCCACCACCCCCTGCGGCGGTGTCTGCCTCCGGCAGGTCCCGCCGCCAAAGGAGGGTGTGATTGGCCAGGTTGTGGACCACGCAGGTGAGCAGCGCGTCCCGACCGGCCTTCACGATCAGCGGGCGACGCAGGCTCAGGCTTAGGTCAGGCGCCTCTGAAAGAGAGGTCAGACGGGGTCAGGTCAGGCGTCTCTGGAACGGCATTAAACAGGGTCAGGCCAGACGCCTCTGAAAACTAAATCAAGTAAGGTCAGGCCAGAGGCCTCGGGAAACGAAGCCAAGTAAGGTCGGGTAAGACAACTCTAGAAACGAGGTCAAACGAGGTCATGTCGAGCGCCTCCAAAATCGCTACAGGGCAGGTCCGGCGCCTCTCAAAACGACCGGAAGGCAGGCCAGGCGCACTTGCACTTGCAAGCGGTTTGGACAAGTCATGCGAGGTCAGACGTGTCTCAAAACGGCAAGGTCAGGTCAGGCACAGCTGGAAATTGCCAAAGGCTTGGTCGGATCATGCGCATCTGGAAACAGTTACAGGTAAGATCTCTTCATGGTATCAGGTCAGAGCCTGAATTGGGACGAGCCAAGCGACCCCGTAAAAGGTCGCACAAGGTCGCAGAAGCTCAGGAAACACTAGAATGGGCGGTGCTCACGTCGGGTACCTCTGCACGTCAGGCGAGGTGCGGGCAGACGTACCAGAATGCCCTCAGAGGTCAGGTCAGGTCAGATCAGAAGGAAATTATGAGAGATTTGGTCAGGTCAGTCCACCAGAATACCCTCAGAGGTCAGGTCAGGTCGCATCACCAAAATACCCCTAGAGGTCAGGTCAGGTCATATCACCAGCATACCCTCAGAGGTCAGGTCAGGTCATACCACCAGAATACCCTCAGAGGTCAGGTCAGGTCAGTTCACCAGAATACTCTCAGAGGTCAGGTCAGGTCAGTCCACCAGAATGCCCTCAGAGGTCAGGTCATGCAGGATTCGATTGAATTCGGCCGAACAGACCGAAATATTGGCCAATGCACGCATACCACCACAGCCTCTCCGGCGCGTGGTCCAAAAATAGGTCATTTAAGACATAACAGCACCCCACTTATTCCAAATCGGTCGCCTTCGGCACAGTCGGAAAATGATTGGCTGGCTCCCTTTTTATTTCAATCGGCCTGCAGCCTTCTCCAAGTTAGATAACTATTTCTCGATTTATGGTCGCTTCTCGAGTAATCCAGAATGGATCACTGGTTCTCTCCTTCATTTCAGTCACAATGCTCGTCTTTAATAGAGGCAATGGGCCAAGAATATCTGTGCCATTAGTCACGAAAGTTCAAGAGGATGTGAATGCATAAAGACTCAGAACAATGAAGCAAAAAGGCGGACAAATTACTCTGGTCCCTTAATGACCGCTCCTAGGAGTCATTGTTTGCCGTCTCCATGCCGACATCAGCATAAGTAAAGGCCATCAGTCTCCCGAGTGCAGGCTTGTGTGTCACCTAATCTGGTTATAGTTTGTTTTGCTCCACCGCTGCAGGAGGCTTCAACGCCGTATTTGTTTTTGTTTTCTACGCGGTAGAAATTGCAGACTGGGACACCGGCCCTACCACGCGCGTCTTGGGACATACTTCTGGTTACGTCCGCGTAACGTGTGGTGGTTTTGTAGGTTTAAAATCATTTTAATGTCCCATGCGGGAACAATTTACCAATATTAATGCAAGGTGTCCGAATCGGCCGAAAAACGTTCTGGACACCGAGTCAGGCAAATGTTTAATTGCTTTGAGATCTGTCAGCTCACATCAGGTCAGTTCAGATCAGGTCTAGTCACATAAGGTCTGGTCAGGTCAGGTCTGTTCAGATCGGGTCTGCTCAGATCAGGTCTGCTCGGTTCAGGTCTGTTAACAACAGGTCTGGTCAGATCAGGTACGGTCATAACAGGCTAGATGAAGTCATGGCACCCACAACAGCTCACATCTGGCCGTACAATGTCACATAAAATCCTGCTTGCTTACATCAGGCCAGATCAGGTCACTTAACGTTAACTCAGATCGGCTCAGATCGAATCACGACCGGTCAACGCAGAATCTGGTCAGGTCAAGTCGGGTCAGGTCAGGTCAGGTCAGGTCAGGTCGTGCCGTGTCGGGTCGGGTTGGGTCAGGTCAGGTCGGGTCGGGTCGGGTCGGGTCGGGTCGGGTCAGCTCAGGAAGCACCATGTATATTCAGGACCTGAGCCATGTCGGGACACAGCATACGAATGTCGCCATAGTCCGCTGTGGCGTATCAGCGCTGGCGAGATGCCCATTGGTTGTGAAATCAAGCGGCTGACAAGTGCACCAGTAAGAGCATGGGCACACCCAACTTCGTTAGATCAATATGCTCTCATGTATGACAAAGGGGTGCACTTTGTGTAAATGCACTGGCTCGGTGGTCATAACTTTGACGCAGTTGATGGGCCCGAATGCACCAGCACCGGTGATCACCAGCACCACCCTCCCTGGTGTTCTGCGCGACGCTGCATCAGTATATCACCAACACCAAATTCCCTGGTGGCGTTGGTGACATGGCATCCCCACTCTTCAGCTAAACCAGCGGCGAACCCCGTAAAAACCAACAGCCCGAAGCATAATGGGCCATGGAATTCCTTGTCGGCAGCTGCAGCTAGTATCCATAGCCGAATAATGACAATACAAATCACCAAGACTGTGGTTTAGTTCGGGATTTATGATCTACATGCCCGAAACGACACTCGGTTTTGTATCGACGGGCAATTTCGGAGCGGTTCCAGCGAAAGACAAACTGCTCATTCTTTCCTCTTTTCAGCAAGCTCTCGCCATCAAAACCGAGTAGTCAGCTATTCCTTAATCATTCGAATGCACTGGTGGGGTGGAAGCACTAAACGCCGACGGTTTTTCGCGACATTCGAGGCTTCGAGACTGTACTTCAGTCCCACCACAGTCACCGAAACCAGACGCCACATTATTGACGCGGCATCGTCCAGACGCATCCATCACTTTTGCCACATCCGCCCGTTTCGTGGAGATAAATACGCAATGCATAATGCGAGCGTCTACCTCAAGCGGTCCCGAGGGTGCCGTTCCCGAGACACCCACCACCGCGGGGTGGCAACAAGCCGGCCCACCACGAGACACCAGCACCAACCCCGCAACTCCCGCTGATCCCTTATCCCGTTTCACGCAGCTTAAATTCACGCCGAAAAGAGCGCAGGTCGGATTAGTCGAATCGATAGTTCTAATTTGCCAAAGAGGGCGGCCGCCCCACGCAGGCCATCGTGAGTCTGGCTTTCCAGCTCACTCCATTCCAATGCAGGACACGTGACCTGCAGTCCGTGGAGGTGTTTGGCGTCACTTCCGCGTCGGACGCTCCCCCCCCCCCCCCTCCCCCCTCCCGGCAGTCAGCCGGTGCTCCGTGCTCGCTCGAGAGGCTCCAGAATGGGCGGTTTACTTCAGCTACGGCTTTCATTGGGCGGAAATGGATGCCAACTGAGCCGAAAACATTACGGCTGAAGACAATTGGAAATATATACACTGAAAGACACGTTGCAAACACGCACTTAACATTTCATGGCATCTACAGTCTTTTGCTAAAAGAAAAAACACCACACATGTGAAGCTACGGACAAAAATTACGGAAAAACTGTGTAGATATCGCACGTAGCAAACGGGAGAGCCTTTCACGAATGAACGCATAGCCGCTCATATAATTCAATCATTGGACATTACAAATAAAAGCTCCAATCAGTCAGAAATAAGCCAAAATTATTCGCCTGGAACTCTGCGGACACCGTAATTGGCCGACTAGGTCCCATGACTCATTTACCGGTAGCGCGAATGATGAACGCGTTTGGTTTCCCGCGCTCATCCTGCTCACATTACCACTAACGTCCCTGACGGCGTGATTCAGGTAGCTGCGAGTTTGGTAACACCAGTTTGGTGACACCAGTTTGGTAACACCAGTTTGGTAACACCACGCAGGCTCGTGAGGCGAGGCAACACCGCCTTTAGGAATTCATTATGAGTGCTTGAAAATGTAAGTGGAGGGAGCAACAGGTCTCAGATACGCCGAGCTTGATATTCTGACCGCGGCATCGAAGCTAGGGTTCGTTCATTAAGTGACCGGGCAATCTTGCCACAGTCACAAAGCGGAGCATGTTCCGTGGTTTTGTCCTCCGCGTGCAGGTAATCGAGCGCCTGCGCGCGGAAATACCTTGCCAGGAAATACCGCGGCTTTAGTGGGATTATAGGGACGCCTGGCAAACGACTGCTTAGTCGAACGGTGCGGCAGGACAAGCTGGCAGGTCTAAGGCGTGCACTTTTATGTCACCTAAAGAAAAATTTGCAAATAAATTAATCGGAACAAAACAACGAAATAGTGCAGTGAAGTCGTACTGTAACATGTGCAAAGATAATGCGGTGATAACAAAATTAATCCAATGATGTAAAGACGGCTTTGCACTTTCGAGGTGCGCCAACAGGTACCTCATTCTCATCGTACCGCCACTCTGGTGAACGGCGTACGTACAGGTGGGGATGTGGCAAAACCGACGCAAGAATCGCAGAGCGTCTCTTGAAGAAAAAGGATAGCAATACCATTTGCATTCAATGTCTACGCAGGTGATACCCGAGCTGAAAGTCTTCGGGGAAAGGATACCTATAAGAAGAGTTTTGGTATAATGCATAGGCCCAAACGAGCGCTGGAAGAATTCCCTACCGAGCGCAGGACAGTGGGAGGGGTGGGCGAGAGGCACGACCCAAACGTTCTAAGAAAACGGCTCGCCACAAAACCAGATATTTCTCGGAAACATGCACAATACATGCAGAAAGATCTGCTGGAGGTTTACCTGCGCACCGTGACCCTCCTTGCGTGTGTCCCTCCGCTTTGATTGGGACCCAAAACCGTACCGACTGTCCTGAGCTTAGAAATACACCGTAGCCCCGCTCAAGGCTGTAGCACCAATTCCACACATCATCACATGTTCCCACCCGCCGCACCAGCACCGCCTACGGCAGCGGTCGAACCCCGGACCCACCCACCGCCATCGGCGCATTTCTCGCGTGTCTGCTGCTTCGTAAAGCGCCTCGGACGTTCGATGTCTGACCCCTGATTGGCTGGCCGGCTACGCTGCCCATGACCTGTGACCTCCGCCACGTTGCCA